GTCTCCAACCTAGAAGCGACGGCCTCCAACCTAATAGCGATGGCCTCCAACCTAATAGCGACGGCCTCCAACCTAGAAGCGATGGCCTCCAACCTAATAGCGATAGCCTCCATTCCACAATTGTCTTTTCCGGTTTTACTCTCCGAGTGCACGTGGGATCCTATTTTGGATGGTGGATACGATTGGTGCCAGGAATTCCCCACAAATTATCCTGTTGCCGGAATGTTGCCCTCGGAATCGCCCTATTCGAATGATGCCTTCGATCCACAAGTTCGCCCATATCCGTTGTACAGTACTATATAACTTTGGTCATATTCCGACCCTACGTGAAACAAAGAAATTGTCATTCCTATAAGATCTATAAGCAAGCCCAATGGGGTGCTCTCCACCCTTAAGGCGAGACACAAAACCGTTTGGTAACACAGACGTTTGGAATTCGGAAGTCGTGAACTCTCTCAGGGGGTTGTACCGGTTGTACCCTTTGAGTGATCCTGGAGATGAAAAAGAGATTCAGAGTTCCCAGAAGTGACGGACCCCGCTGATTCGACCAACAAAATAGGCACTGTTGTAACAGTCGTGCACACAGAAACTCAACGACAGATCGAAGTTGCGAAATGAAACAACCGAGCGAAGCCAGGACAAGAGGCACATTGTTACCCCCCAGCCCCCACCCGCCATCCTCCAAATCGCGCAAGGCCGCAAGACTCCCACATGTTCTTTGTGTCACCACAAAAAACGTCCGACGCAGAACAAGAATGTTGTGAACCCATCCTACAAAACAAGGCTAGGCAGCTAGTGATTTGATTTCATCAGCTCACACGTCGAAAAACCGAAGGGGGCACCGCTGGATCGGCATAGGGTTAGGTGATGGGAAAGTGATGACAACATCAATTTGTCAACGTCTTGGAATTGTGGTACAGAAGCTACTAGTAACAAAGGGCATCGCTTCCAGGAGCAAGAAGCTACTAGCAGCTCCTGGCGTTTCTACTGTTAACAAGAAGCATCCTGAAGTATAAATAATATGTTTTTTAATATATGTCTATCGAGTCTTGAAACTCTTGGTGGTCGAGATCGTGAGCAACTTGTTGAGTAATTGTATGCAGAATATTGGCAGGTACGATTGCTGGTGCCCGAAGAAACATATTTGCAAACTTGTCCATTTAGATGTACCTATATATATTCTACACTGGGCTTGTTCCCTCATGTTTTTATGGACAAAACAAGAGATCCGAGTCAAAAATGAGCCTGGTTCATTACACAAAATCTAGACACAGTGGATGTCCTGCAATGTTGTTCTCCCTTATCGGACATGGGAGAACCCTCGACAGTCATGTTGTTCGAGCTACACATGTGATGAACAACCCTTTTTTTTGTCCAAAAATAAAAAAATAGTCAAAAATAAAAAAGTTGCACAAGTTGCATCACATGAAGTTCTTCACCCACTTTCCACCGACCTGCCTCAGTTGCGAGGGCATGGCGCTTAGCCGCCAACTCCGAGGCCACCCGAGCGACCATCCGCTGCTCCCTGCGTGGGAAACGAGTCGAAGGAGTCGAAGGCGTTCATCCAAATCTCTCTTCAACCTACTGCTTCTTGTTACTAGTAGTAATGCAAGGGAAGAGTTGGATGCGTTCGATGTTCTTTGATACTGAGGGCTGTAGGCTGGCGAGACGTGGCGAGACTGACAGTCTCGCGTCACCCAAAATACGATGGCGGGGCGAATGGCTGGGTCCAGACTTCTTGGGTCCCAGTTCACCGGTCGCCGGTCGACAGCTTTGACTAGACCGGTCGTCAGAGCAGCAACCGGATTGACTGGTCCTGGTCCCCCGGTCCAGTTCTCTGGTTCTCCCACTCCTTTCGTGCAAGCACCGTCCCGCATTTGCTGACTGGCTGGAAAACCACCTGGATGTAGTAGCCCGTGACATCCAATGACCGTATGGAGAACCAGAGTAAGGATATCCATACACATGATATATCAATGTGGCATCCAGTGACATTACTGATATCAAATTCTTCCGCAGATATCCAAACATGCACGCGCAAACACACGCGCACACACACACACCCCACACATCTCGGGTGATTCTATAAACATCTACGAACCATTGATGGTGTGCCCTTTTGTGATAGCCTCCTATGTCCTGGACTTGTCTGCTCCATTTTCAAGCAAATGCCTACATTGGTTTATGGTTTGTGACGTCACTCCCAGTCTAGTTGGCTGGCCTGGGTATGGATTACGTTAGACAGCCTAAGCACGCTAAGCATGTATCACTTCAAGAACTGATCTGAGATTGGACAAGGCCTGGTGAAATAGAGTCTATAGAGCAAAGGAATAGACGAAACAAGAAGCGATCCTACTTTATGGATCAGGTGATGCATTTGGCTTTTGGGGGAGGATGGACCAGGTACCACGCCGCTCCAAATCTGCGCCTCTCATCCTCTTCCATCGCAGAAAACGGGGCCTACAAAGACCTGTGCTGTCCTGTCAGTTCTATGTCATCTAATGCAAGAGTGACACCCAAATATGTAGACAAACTCACTGCAGTTGAAATATCTATGTCTATTTGGGGTTCCCGGATGCAACATCGACAATCCTGAAACTTGAAAAGTATTGAAAATTTATCTACTTTGCAATGCATAGAATGCTTGTCAAGTTGTAAGCTCCTTGCAAGTTGGCAACTCTGCTGGAAGCAAAGAAATGCGGCGCAAAGCATACCAATGTATGATAATAAGATTCCATGCATTTCATGTAGGGATTCCTGCCAACAGTCATCGAAAACACCGCTCAAAAGCGTTCTTCCCGTGGTAGGCAACAAAACTTGTCTATCGTGAGGACTCGTTCGACTGCAGACCCTGCAGAAGCTGCGAAACCAGATGTGGCTTCTTCGGCGGAGAAGTGCTCCAGTGACTTCTTCACGTGTTTCCACTCATCTACTTGATGCGTTTAAGGTTTCTGCCATTCGTCTTTGCTGGATTTGTTTAGCTGTAGGTGTGGGATATGATGGGGATATAAAGCACATTCATAAATAATCCTGTTGCCTTCCTGGCCAATCAGCTTACATGAAAATGATAATGTTCCGCTATCAACACATTCCCAAACTACACAAAACATGTGTACCCTTGGAGTCTAAGCATGGTTTTGTAGAAGAATGCATCACACACAAAATCGTTCAAGGCGGATACACTGTCATTCAAGCCCCAGTGCATCACAACAATCTCAGAAACGACCGATGGGACTGGCATATGACTCCTACATTGACTCCTTGACGACGTGGACCCCGTTTCAACCACCCTGGCTCTGGAGTCATGAGTCATATGCCAGTCCCAAATGGGTGATTTGTCGACAGGACGGGTCGTGTTTCCTGGAGCGACAGGGGGCCGGACCTCTGGCACCTCAAAGCCCAGGATCCTGTGATCGAGTCTGCCGCTGTCGAACACGGGTAGAGACTCAAAGTCCAGAGTGACCCATGCTGGTGGAGTCCGTTCACCAGCATTCTGTAGCTCTATTATATATATATATGTATATTATATATATATATATGTGTATTATATGTAAATATGATTATATGCACGCATGTGATCTTCCAAAAGTATCTGAAATAAAGGGATACTCATACTCACTCCGAGCCTACCATGATCATGAAGAAGAACCACCAAGGGCGCCCTGGGGGTTGATGGTTGGAGTGTTAGCTTCACACGGCTTTTCCACTTTAGAGGTGTGGGTGAGGTCACCTTCCAAAATATACTGTAGTAATATAGAAGTCTTTGAGATAACTGAGATAACATATAGTATAGATAACTCACCGAACCACAACTCATTCAGCATGTCTTTGTCTGCCCCAGTCGTAGCTTTCCCCTCGGAAAACGTCGTGCAGAAGGTCATCTGCTTAATGAGTTTGCAAAGCATTGTCTCATGTCCTGCTTAAGTTCTGGCCATCATGTTATTTGATTCCCGTAATTGATCGAACAAATATGCCGCAAGTGAAAATTGTGACATGACAATGTGTGGGAGACTTAGTGACCCGCTTCCAACATCCTGATTTTTGGCGCCCCCACCGACTGGGATGAATACCCAGTCCACGGATCTTCAGTTCAACCTCGGTCCAAGCACTAAGTCCGCTTGGAAAACCCTGGAATCAACTTCAATCACCAAAGCGCATGTCGGTTCATGTTCATGAAATCTGGGCTCCCGTAACAAACGCCAACCTCAACTTCTTTTGAAAAGTACTCCCACAGAAACCAGTGGACTACGACCCTGACTCCGGGTTGGCTTTCGGGGCTTGTACCAAGTTCTACCCTTCCTGCTGACTTTGCCGGAGGCCCCCTCTTGTAGGTTTGTTGGGTACAAGACACTAACATCTCAAAAGCCAGAATCTATTGTCCCATGAACTTGTTGCTGCTGAAGACATGCATCAAAGCACTATCCATCGCTTCACAGTATGAAGTGGGTGGCAGATAGAGCCGCCCCTCCCTGGCGACACGGCTGCCCTGTGCAAAGCTCTCTGAGACGGCAACCGAGCTTGCAGACTCCACCACGTAGTCTGTGAAGACTCGTTGCACCAAGAGGTCCCTCAGAGGTCTAGGAGTCGAGGCGACGAGGATGAGAACAAAGCAAAAAATATAGAATCAACATCTCAACAATAGACTGAACATGATTGAACAAGGTACCTGTCAATCAATAGACAATCAAAAGAGTTCAATGTAATTGTTGTGTTTCCAACCCATGCCCACTGCTGGTACGTACTCGGTACTTCGTCACCCTAGCAGAGCCAATCACAGGATCCAACAATATGTTTTGTGGAGATGTCATCAGATTCAAAACGCTTCAGACTTCGAGATGTGCGTCCGTCCCGCCATGGTCCTTGGACCGCCCGTGTTCGCCCGTGGTCGCCCCAAGTTGGCCCTCCAAGTTGGCCCCAAGAGGTGTTGAGGATACACCCGTGTTGGAGTGAATCGAAGCTGAGAACCGCTGGAAACCTCAATACAAGAGATGTTGAATCCAGGGTGGTGAACATGAAGATGTTCCCGCACAGCGGTGGCTTCGCTTCTTCGGCAAAAACGGGTGGTGTTTTTTGTTGTTCAAACACACAGAGGTCTTTGTCTTGGTTGAAGGGTCGTGCTTGTGAAGAATCGATCCAGCTGGTTGAGTGCATGAACGATGAAACATCTGAGCATGATATCCAACAGAATCGAACATCATGGATGTTTGACCTACGGGATGTCAACCCCCTAATCTTTGACAAAGACCTCTACAGGCTCAGCCTTTTTCTCCAACCAGTATAATTCTGCTGCCAACTACCTGGTGGACATAAACCACACAGGTGAAGCAAATGATTCTCTCAAGCAATGGACACAATAACCACTATATATTCGGGTAAACCAGGTGTTGCTGAACCACTTGACATTTGAACAAAATGTCTAGTGGCGAACGTGTCACACCTTTCATGTCTGATCCAAAGAAGGTCACTTATGCACTGAGCGTTCTCTCGGAGTATCCGGTTTCTGGAAGAAGTGAAGGACTTTAAACTTAAACATCTGGGATTTACTGTGTATCCCATGTCAAAACCCAACATCACTGAATGTCTTTGGAAGAAGCAAATGAGTATTGTGTGTGATGTCTATCTACCCCACACTCCATGTCTTCTGAAATGATTGCATATTGCCTTGGTTGCTTTGGTTGCTCAACTGGCTTCTTTCCTTGGTTACCCAAAAGTAGTGGATCAGAAGATCCATCGAACAAAAAGCTGCATAAACACACAGCCCATGCGAGCAAGCGAGCAGCAAAGACACGGTGCAACCTGGTGTTCAACCGCGTTTGTTTGCCTAATTTTGGTCGTCTCGAAGAGCAGGAGGACAAATATCCACGCTTTACCAGTTAAAGGATATAGATTTTCATGATGCCAATCTTAATGATCGATACATATTTGATATTAGCCACATAGCCGAGTCAAACGATGCTCAAGAAAGCTTCTTCTCTTCCCCAAAGCAAAGAGCATGCGGTGCAACAAATTATGTAACATTACAATATATAACTTGCAATGGTCTTTCAGATGGCCTTGGTCGTGTCTTGTTGATCGAACATGAAGGAAACACTGACGAAACATCCAACAGCTGCGCTCTCATGAGCAAGGACAGTGGTTCCACTCCCAAAAAACTGTTCTTTTCTGTGAATAGACTATTTTTCCACTGAAAGCTCAATCAGGATGTTTTGCCTCTATCCGAGTTTATCCCCAAGCTTTTGGCTCGTTCTTTTGCCTTCCAAAATGCTTGCAAACGCTTCTGCTTCCAGCTTTATTCGATCAGATTCAGGTGGCAATTCCTAAGAAAGCCTCGAGTTTGTTGAAGTTCCACAAGGGTAAAGCATGGAAAAGCCAAGCTATAATCCATGTGAAGTGTTGAAAATAGCTCCTTAGCACTGTGAATGGAAAGACTCCACCCTTTCAGCTCTCATGTTGCGTTTCAATTCGGAAAGTAAACAATACGAAGTGGAAGAATCTGGAAGGCATGTCTTTCTCTCCAATTCGGGGTGGTATCAAGCTGCGAAAGAGAGTGATATCTTTCTCTCCAGTTTCGTCTGCTGCTTGCTACGCGGTTGCTACGCGGTGCACTCCGGCAGCCACCCCAGGAGCCAGCGGACATGGAAGAACTCCAGCGATCATGAGACGTAATGCATTGTACAACCGAAATCATGCTACTCGATCGCTGCTTGCAGTACCTGAAGTAGCTCTGGACCTGGTGCTGAAACAATTCAATCATTCTTTGAAAAAACACAGGCTGGACTTTCACGTGCCTTTTGCCATGAACCGTGATTGTGATCATAGACTGAAACACATCCATGCACATTTGGCACGTGATGCAGGAAAGAAAAAGTTCCTTGGCGGTCGCTCCAAGTCTTTTCGCTTTTTCTGGCTCTTTGAGAGTTGGGGAGGCCGATTCTTCCATGACTCAAGTCTGTCGGATGCCCATGGGAAGACGTGAAGTGAACAAGTCCACTTGGAAAGCCGAAAACGATGGTGGATACCCTCTTGCAGCCTCCTGCACTCATGATACCGCTTATACGGTAACTTATACGTAGAGTACACAGTAGACTGACGCGCGCTGTAATTTGCTTCAAGCAAGCAGTGATTTCAAAATGGTCCAGCTGAGCCAGCTGATGTGGAGGCTCAAACCAGCTTCTTTTCTCAACCCTTTGAGATCTCAAATTATATATATAGATTTTATGTAAATGTCCAATGTTTAATAAATTCAGTTACAAAGGAAAGGATCTTGTCTCAATGACTGAGACCAACAGATGGCAGTGTTTGTTTTCACACTTATCTCATGTCATCATCCCCTAGACGTGACTGCAAAGCATCATGTGGCCATTGTGGGCTTCTCATGACCCGAGCAGCATGTCTCCACCCCGTCCGCTGGCATCCCGAAGAACACCACTTCATTAGGATTGCTACAATCCTGAACCCAGAGGAGATGAGCCGCCAATTTCAGTGTCCCAAGCAGCACCCAAAGTATCCCGACTTGGACTGAGTTCACAATCACTTGTTTGCAGGCAATGGACTAAGTCTTGTCACAAGCTAGAGATGAAGTTGCTCAACTTGCGCAACAAAGGCAACCTCAAGTGCTAGGAGTTGCAGCGGTTGATTCTTGATGCTGTGGCCACCTCCAACACCATTTTCCCAGATACGCCGAACTACAACATCTCTTGGTAGCCATCGTCATGCTTCGGGTGCGGCGCTTGGGTTCGCCCAGACTTTGCAGTCCTTCGCGGGATCAACCCAGCAACCACGAAACCCAGGAAAAGCTCCACCTACCGCATGCATCCGCATGCCACAAAAAGAAAGAAGCGTCGCCTCCAGTCGTGATCTCCGCTGTGATGGGTGAAGCCGCGGGTTCGAGTTGGACCCGAGGATGTCATGGACGACCGGATGTCAACCATCGGAATCGGAGGGGATCCTTCTTTTCGACAGATCCTCATTTCAGGTGTTCCGTCATGATGCGGAACTCCTCTGTGCTTCCTCGTGTGACCGTGTGGTCCGGAGCAAACCCCGCTGCTTCACAACGAAGCAGCTAGTAGTCAGACTCACAGCCACAGGAAACAGCAGGGGTGGATGCCATCTCTGGAAAGGAGAAGAGCACCAGCAAAACACAAAAATGTATATGGAACATGTGCGCCAAGCAGCTCCACGTGTGCAAACTCATTGCAGTCCGGTGACAATTGAGGAACAGTTTGTGGCGGTACATCGGCACGTTCACTGGTATCTTACTCGTTTAATGGAGTTTTAGATTGGAGTCGAACGACATGAACATGGATAAACTGGCAGTTCTTCTTTGCGGTTATCAATGGGGACCGCCGGTCAAACAATCTGCCACTGGCTTCTCTGAGATCCAGAAAACACCATAATTCGTTGGCTTGGGAAAAGTCCTTCTGAAAGCCGGTCCGCTTCATTCCTGCCGGTCCGGTCGTTAGCGGATTGAACTTGGAAGCCGCGCGGACTGCACATGGAGCTTCTGAAACAATCTGATTAATTGAAACCTAGCAAAACTGCCACCCATTCGATTCACCTCTTCTGAAGAAAAGCATCGAATGCACCCGGAGTAACTAGGCGCTTTGAGGCTTCTTGGGCCCTGTATTAGACCACGTAAGCCTCGTGAACACGTCGTAAGCGTCTTGGCTGCAACCAAGACAAATTTCGATCCATGCACCGGGGATGGAACCCCTGAGTGCCTGGTTGCTAAAACTGACTCTACAAGTTCACAACTTTTCTCGAGTGGCCTCATCTTGAAATAAAAGGTATCCGCCCAAAGACTCCCTCTCCTCCGTTCTTGTTTGGTGTTACGCCCCATAAATAAGCATGCAAAGTCCTTGGACTGTAAGACCATGGGCCTGAAAAAACAGGTAATGTCTCAGCATGTTCATCAAACGTGTTCTATCTCCAATACTTACCAGCGCCAGCAGCTCGGCGTTGTTTTCACGTGTCTCGTGCTTGGCATCTGCCTAAAATGGTGTCCCCAAACAGTTTCTTCGGGAGATCTTGGACGGATTCTTCGGGAGGACACCCACTGTTCCCCAAAAGGTGTCACACTGTCCCACTCCAAGAGACGGCTCCTGTTGGCTAATTTGGAATATAGATTATAGATATTTTAGAAAGAGAAAACGACCTGACATAAGAGATGGGTCTGAAAATGAGAACATGGTTAGAAGAAAGACACCTCCTGCTCTCGTGCTCTAGGAGGTACGACTCGTTGATTTCTGCCGATGTGCTTCTTGAGCCGTTCGCTCGCTTTGCTCGCTTCGCTTATCCTCGCTCTCATGGCCTCATTCACTTACCGATGACACACCAGGAAGCTTCAGGCCAACACTCAAACCTACCCTCTATTCAACAAGCATTGAAGTAGAAAAGTTGGTCCTTGAAAGACGACCTTTCTTCTGACAACAAATCTACCACTTCCATGTTAGAGGGTGACCTGGAAAGGCTTTTCTGACTGAATGGCAGACAGTTAGCAACTGCTGAATCAAAAAAAATATATATATATGTATGTTAGCATATGTACAGTGTGTATATATATATGTATACGCTCACCCCCCACGATCTACCTTTCCCTGCTTTTCGGCTCTTCCACCTTTTCCTGCATTCCCTCTCCCACTTTTCATACTTCTCTGCTCATCTACCTTTTCCTGCTTTTCAGCTGCTTTGCTGTACTGGGCTACCCCTGTGTGGAATAGATTCTTTGTAATATGCGATTAAACAAATGGAATTTAATAGGTAATCAATAAGCTATTGAAGAAATTAAACAAGAAAATAACAACACACCATTAAAAGTAATCAACATAAAACGAAACGAGGTCAAAGGGAAAGAACCAAAAGGAATTCAAGAAGGAAATCAATACAAACCACAAGGAGCTTTCAAGAAGAGAATTCACAAATAAAAGTAATGAAACATAACAAGCATAGACATCATTGCAGGGGAGTTGCCTTTTTCCAAATGTCATACGAGAGTAAAGTGCAAACAATATTTGAGAGGGGTAATATCATTGAACGATGAAACAAACGTAGACATTAATCCAGGGGTGTTATTATTAAAGCGAAGAGGGACAAACATAAATGTAGAGGGTTGTCTTATTCAGGATTTCTAGTGTACCGGGCTAACACCGTTGTGCAATAGTGTTTTTGGTAATATGATATCTACATGATATCTACATACCCTGTGGTGATTGCAAGCACGTTGAAAGAACACTTCGCTGTCTGAGAGAATCTTGCGAGTAGAGTGCGATTTGTGCGCCGGGCTTCTAAGTATCGAATATTGTCTGTGTGTAAAGCGGTGGCTTTCAGACCAGGCAGTGACCACGCACAACTCATGTCTCACAAGTGTGGCCCATGGGAAGGAAGATTGACTAAGGAAAGGCATGGGATCCTACGTGAGGAGAATAGAAATGCTCCACGGTTCTCCAGAAACGGAGTCAAAAGCCTGGACACGACTGACACCACCTGTTTAGGGGCCATGCGAGTGTGTGAAAGAAGTCACCTGGACTGTAGCTGGGGGAGCGCTGGGCATGCCGTTGATCAAAGAATTGGGGATATCAAATTGTTCAAATCTACTCAGTGGGGTAGAATGGCTGCTCACTGCCAGGGGCCTTTATGCTATTCCGCTTTCTTTTGATTGATCCATAGTCAGGCTGCCTAACATCGCTTGTCTTCGAACACTCTCGAGACTCTTGTTCCTTGCGGCCGAAGCACGATGCCAATGACCTGAGACAGGCGCCTCTTGACCACCAAAGTCACTCTCAACCAGGCCGCCATGGGAAGGTGCATGCCATTTCTGCTGCATCTTGGCGCCGTGTGCCTCAATCAGAGGCGAATAGCATTGCTTTCAGCGTCAACACGAAACAGGTCGAGTCGAAACCCTCTCGAGTGAACTTAGACGGTGAATGCCAGCAGCTTTGTGGCGTGGTGTTCAACTAAACACGAACAGGGACCGGAATCATGGATGATTGCCGTCCAACACGTATTGCTGGTATCCTCCAGTTGGTGCCGTCCATCGAGGTTATGTTAATGTGCTGATGGGGTAGCCTGCTAAGATTAAAACTAGTCTGAACTGGTGTTGCTATAACTCTGTTCTCAAGATGTTGGATGGACATGGATGGACTATAACTATGATGGACTGATGTCGCGTGTGCTTCTTTTATGTTCAGTTTTCCAAGTGCCTTGTTTAGATGTGTAGTCTCTACGGTATAGATATGTCTAGACTATAGATATGCTATGCTATATAGATATTGCATGATATTGCTAGATGTTTAATCGTTTTTGACACCCAATCAGGCACACAGGTATTGAGCCTGTGAGGTCCCTCCATCTTTGAGATTAGACTGGACCGACGTAAGGGTGGTCTTTGGCTTGTCTCTTGTGCAGGTCACATCAGTGATCAAGCCCGAGCTGTGGACCACATCACACCCGAGCTGTGCCCGATCCAAGACTCGCCGTCACAGAACGCCGGAACGACCACCGCGGCCCGTCCTAACCCGGCGATTAACCTAGCCCGTTCCGTCACGCTCGGCCCCGGCCTTGAGAATATGCTCGGAGGGTGAGTCCAAGCCGAGGACATCGATGAGCCGTCCGCTCCGCATGAGGACTGGTCCAAACGCGATGGTCTTTCGTCCCAGCTTTGGGCAGCGAGATGTGAACCCGATCTCTCTTGAGCCGAGGTCGCCGAGGTCTCCCTCTTGACAGCGAGTGGTGTTTGTTCATGTTCCAAGGCTCGGCCAACACCCTTTGGGAAACGATCACCGGACCAAGAAAGCTCACAATGAGTGTAAGTGTGTTTGGTGAGTGAACACAGCATAGCCAATACTTATTTAAATACTGTTTTCATGTGGCCTCAACATGCCTCAATGTGGCTTTCGGGTGACAGGGGCGTCTTAGTAAGCTCTCATGAGAGTGATCCAAGCATCCTATGATCTTTGCGTACTTCACATGCTCTTGGCCATGGAACGAGTCAGCATCAAGCCGGATGACGTGGAGTATCGCCAAAGTAGACTGCGAATTTTGTGTGACCTGACAATCAAAGCCTGGCTCCCACACTGACGCACAACACCTGATTCCCCGCTACCCACATTCAAAAAGGGAAACCTGCCCCGAAATGCCTATGCATCCCTCCCAAGCTATGCCTATGGCCCACAAAGACTCCCACTAAGAGCCCCGACTCAGAGGCTGATTCTTTTAAGCCAGTGGCGAAGGTGGATGGCCGATACTCAATGACATTGGCGATCACACCTCGCCATTGGTCGGTACCCAAAACATCCGAGCGGACAGCAGACTTTACTACGCTGACAACTCTTCATTCTACAAGGCCACTTGAATCGAGAGAATTCTGCTTTGTTTGTGTATTCAAAAGGCCTGTGGCTGAAGCAGTAAAATGCACAAAGATTGTGTTCAGAAAATCTTGCATGTGTTGCAAAAATCTTATCATATCATATCATATCTTAGCTGCTTTTTTTAAAACGGTATTTGGCCTCGATGTTACATGTGTCGATCCGTCTCCTTTGTTGAATGAACCATGTCTTGACATGTGTCGACGAGCGTCGACAAGAATGGAGAGTTGTTTGTGTTGACGGGTGTCACCCCACAGGCCTTCTTGAATACAACCAAATTCTGTTTTCTAGTTTCATCAATGCAGGGGAGGCCAACTATTGCTTGGGGTGAAAAGGAGGGACCTGGATCCACCCGCCAGGGAGCTCCAACCTTCCTTGGTTCAGGTCTCCAGGTTGGCACTAGTTCATACCCATGAGTCCCACCAGTTCATCCTTCGTCCAGGTCTCTGGTAGTAGGTCCTTCGCCCGCAAATGGACTGATACACCGAGAAGATATGCTCAAGAATGGGTGAGAAATCCTGATCCCTGGCGGAGGACCGAAGGACCTCGCAAGCCAACACAAGCTATTTGCCTGAGTACGGGACTTTCCTGATCTTTCTGCTGCAACTGACAGACATGCTTTCATGGCAAACTTACAGAACATGCTGCCAGCCTTGCTCTGAATCAATCTCCTGGCCGATCCTCCTCGCAAACGGCCGATGGACACGACGTGGAGGAACACATCCCACGGTAGAAGCGAGTGCAGAGGCTACAACTCTTGGAAGGTACTGTATTCGCTATAAAACGAAACTTGCCAAAAAAAGAAGCAACCATGGGCCATGGGGATGATTTCAGGAAGCATGACAACTGTCTGGTACTCATGAATATTTGAATGAATTTGATTGGGATATTTCATGGCAATGGAGGAATCTCTCCATCGTGTCTCCTGGTTTGGGTGCTACAATCTCAGAAACCCTCTCTTCGTTTCGAAGGTATTGAGTTGCCAGGTCTTCTACATTGGGAGTCATCCTCCACTGGCTACTCAGAACATGCTGGACCCAGTGAAAACAGGCGGGACCGCATAGTTTTGTCGTGAACGACAATCTCACTGTGAGGTCTGGCTCCGCCCGAGATGGACACGATCGTCGACTATGCCACAGAATCAGAACAGAACGTCCATGGACGTCTATGGTATACATGAAAAACACCCAACTCGCTGTTTGACAAGGCAAACCTGTTAGGCAAACATTCTTTATATAGCTCCACGTCAGCAAGTGTTCAGAAGCGGAGTAGGCTAGAAGATCTGCTTTGAACCACTTGCTGACGACTCACTCTTCCGGCGACCGACTCGATCCGAACTCCGGTCCCAATGGAGGCGAAGGGCGAGGTGGGGATGCTCAGAATGTCCTAGGGCCGGAGCTGAACGACTGTGACTCGAAAGTGTCAGCGACAGGGGCACAGTGTCTCTTTTCTGCGACCTGCCGTGTGACCAAACGGTTGCAGCCCACGGAAAGTAGCACAAGGTAGCATGTGCCACGTGACCCACTCGACATGAATCCTTCATGATGCAAATGCAGCATCTGATGGTAAAACCTGGAGCTTGTGCTTTGCTCAAGAAAGATTGCTTGGAGAAAACGTCTAGTGGCTCCAACAGCGAATTCCCCATAAACCAGTTTTGACCACTATTTGGGGGGTCCATCTTGATGTGCGAAGTGGAACCTCATGCGGTAGCTTGGAAGCTTCGTCAATTCAGTGTCTCAAGGTTCATAGTTACCAGGACGTGCCAGATTTCCGTGGATTTCCAGTAAGCAAGCCGATGAACAGGATTGTTGATGTGTTTTGATACTACTTGGTGGTGTTGATACTACACGAACGACTTGCTGTAACCCTGGCGCGCAGTAGGTGTCGAAGTCCCATTTTCTAAAGCATCCTTCGGCTACCACAAACACAGTCGTCCAAGTATCTAAAAAGGTGGTCTTGGATGACACGTACCTTCCTGGGGTCATTAAGTACCTGCTTTCAAGCTGGCTGCTACAGTTTGATGATTCAGACAAACAAGCACCCTGGGATAAAACTCACAAATCCTGTCAAACACCCAAAGATTATATTATGAAATATAAAAATACTTATATAAAATATGTATAAATATGTAATATAAAGTATCCCTTCTCAAACTAACTTTAGCTTGAGAAAAGGACACCGTCAACCTTCGTTCACAAAGTGTGTGGCTATGTACATCTGGATACATCTGGCATCACCTGAATCTGGCCGTTCTTTTCCAACTGTTTGCCGCTCGTCCATGGGCAAATTGTTGACAACTGGGCCGACCCTGACCTTCCCAACATCAATCAAGAGGCCGGTGCATCAGTGTAGATCAAGGTCCATTCTCCACCTCAGACTGAGAAAAACGGCACCTTGTCTGTGTGAAGAACCCCAACCCAAGCAAAACAGGTGTTACCCGGTGTCAAGTCCAACATCTTTTGGTGAAAGCATACTGAAAACAATGAAAATAATGAAAGAGAAGGATATGAATCTATGCAAGCGTGAAAGGAGTCTGTTGTTCAAGTCCGTGTTGTCAAAACGAAACAAAATACTCCACTCACAAAACATCACATAGCTGTGGTTCAAGAACTGGTCGAGCACCAGGGCTCCAACCGAAACGGAATGGTCGGTGCAAACCAATGGAGCGCAACGCGAAAATCTGGGTATAGATGGTACGTACCTGGTCACCCTACCAGGTCACAATACTAAGACAGAATCAATCCTACAGGATTCGGATCCTAGCGTCTTCCATGTTTCTTACTTTCTTGTGCCAGGTCCCCTGAAGTCCATCAATGTTCTGTCTTTTCCGAGGTCCTAAGGCAGAATGCGCGAGCATATCATCGAGTGGATCATGCTCGCACGTGTTTCTGTGACTTTGGTCCGATTTTCCTATCCCAAACTTCAAATCATGCAATGCTGGAAAAAACACATGTTCCTATCCATGCAATTCTGCCCAAACTTCGAGTTGCAAGTCGAGTCTGATCCACTTTTGAGCGGGCTAGGTGAAAGTAAGCACCAACCAGTCGCTAGGCCTGTGTTTTGTTGTTGACTTGTAGAGCTGAATCTGTTGCTGCCGGAGTCAGAAAAGTATGAGTATGTAGTATGTATACCCACTATCTAGACGCTTGTCGACGTAGCGTTTGCCTTTGACACACCACAGTCTTTAGGCAGATACGTGTTTGGTCACTCACTGTATGTCATCAGATTAATTTAAACAAAAAGAATACAAAAGTAATTGGTTGGCTTTAGGATTCAGGTCTCGGGATAAATGCAGTTCAAACCTTTAGGCACAAATCCCAGTTACTGCACTGGATTAGATGTAGGAAAATCATCGTATGATCGCCGACTCAAAGCTAACAGCCCAGCCAGCAATGTCGTTTGTAACTTATTGTAACTTTCATGAAACTTTGACCCTCATGTTGAGATGTGATTTTAAAAACCAATCGCTTCGTGCACTCGTGCACTTCATACAGGTGGTGCCTGTCTGGGTGTGGCTGTAGAGAAAAGCTTCTGTGTCTCATATCAGAGTGCGTCGGCACAGGGGTCAACTGGGTCCGGAGATTTAGCGTGGCCCCCTATGCGGTCGCAATGTCATATCAGGTGTCCGTGGATCTTTCATCCAACAACAAGCAGCACATTTGTTGGCCAAAGCTAAAGAATAACAAAGAGCTAGAAAAAATCTGGCCATGTATTTAACATCCGCCCACTCTTCTTCTAACTCTCACACAGAGAGGCGAATTATTGCTTTGGACCACCGTGGTGCCATGCACCAGCACCGCGGTGGAAACATATGGAAACTCACGAGGGAAGCGAAGGAGGAGCCAGCTCCACTGCGAAGGAGGAGCTGCACCGCTGGTCTTGCGAGGCGAAGGAGGAGGCATTTGCAGAAGCCGCTGCTATTCATGGAAGGGATGTTCTGCTAGGCTAGGACCCCTCCAAGAAGAACACAAACTCATGATCAAAGGGTCTATGCTTCAACATACTCTGAACAGAACGTGTAGTAGTATATGGGAAAAAGACCAGACTCCCGAAAGAACTGACCTTGGAAAAGGACAGGTCGACTAAACCCCAGTGGTTGGAGGGCCTCCTACCACTGCTAGCCATGAGTAGCGGCCATACCACACGTTGACAGGCCGAACAATCCATATGGTCCATGGTATCATGGTCACATTCGGAAGAACAACCCTTGACCCTTGGGAAACGACAGGCGAACCCTTTGCTTCAGATCCCAAACTCAGTGTCCGATCTCAAACGCCAGCTTGCGAACGGTCTCGCTGACGAAGAACACAAGGAACGGTCTTGGGAAAGGAACGGTCTTCTACCTTTGCCCGAACGTAGCGATGCACTTGTTTCTAATAGCGAACATTGTTACTACTAGTAAGGCACTTGTTACTAGAAGCTATGCACTTGTTCCTAGTAGCGAACATTGCTCCTATAGTACTAATGGATTTGGAGAACTCTAGAATCCGAAGTGCCCAAGTGCAAGGAGGATCAAGAACCCTGACTTTTTGTTGAGTGATCGTAGTCCATGCAAATGCCTTCAGAGCGGCATGCAAAATAACACAATATGAATAATTTTCTGTTTGGCCTGGAATTCTTTGGTGGGCACTCGGTCTAAAAAGCCTTGTCACCAGGCTTGTCCCTTAATTCTTTTCCAAACAAGGCCTTCCACACAGCGCAACCCTTTCCTTCTTCCGTGCCTCAACCGTTGCGGCGGCGTTGCCGCGAGGGTCCGCCCTGCCAGGCACCTCAGGCGTGCTGAAACTCACCACACCACGGACCTGTTTCGTGTCCAACTGCCAACGACCACCCCAAGGCCCTAAGGTCTTGAAGAAAGAGAAAAAGGACCAGTTGAGTTTTCAAACAGGTCGCTAATTGTTTGTCTCCTGGAGTTGACAGATGTGATCACCTGTGATGTCATACAGTAAAGCAGATGTTTCATAACCTGCGAATGATCATCGATGACCACAACAAGAAAGGCAAGCATCCCGCCCCACCAATCACCACACCATGGCATCTATATATCTATTTAGCACCCCAAAGCAGCCCAAGGTGATTTCCAAATCACATCCCAAAATATCAGCAAAACCTTCCAAGCACTTCCAGCTGGCTTTTAAAAGCCCCTTCACCTCCCCCGAAGTTCTTCGCTTCCATTCAGAAGCCGTGCCCAGTGTTTCTGCCCTTCGTCCCGCTGCCACCGCTGCCACTTGGTCTGTTCCGAGTGGCCCTCGCGGCTCCAGGTCTTCGCCCGAACTCCACAGCGCTGCAGCTCCGCGCGTAAGACCTCCACCGCCTCCTGCCGCGGAGGGTTTTTTTGAAGCCTCGAAGAGTGAAACGCCTTCGCCCATGGCCGTTTCATGGTGTTTGTGTGTTCGAGACATTGGTTCGATTTGGATGGGTTTCCACCCTTGGTGATTGTCCAGAACTGTTTGTTGATAGTTGATGTTCGGGACGAAATGCGACATCCGGGCTCTCCCGAAATAGTCACCTACTTGGAAAAAGACTGTAAGGAACCCAACATTAAGTTATATATATGGAAAGAAACTGATCACCATAAATCGTTATGTTGTTCTCCATTTGTCCGCCAATTTTGTTGTTTGTTGTACAATAGGATGTTTCCGTCAAGCATAATAGCCTCCTACATGCGTCCTTTGCGGACCATGATGTTGATCAAGTTGAAGCTTCCCACGACAAATTGATGAAGGAAGTGGAAAATGACCTCTGGGAAGATGTTATATCTGTTTTTTGCAAGCAAGGGATCTCCCTTCCAAACATGGAAGTTGAAAACACCCTGTTGGCAATGGAAAACCCTCTTGCAAGGGACCAGTCAGATTTGCCGCTGTCTTTGGGTGGTCGAGTTTTAGAACTTTATGGGGTTACTGGCGGTTTCACGCTGATGGCCGTAAATTCTTGTCGTGCCAAACGGTTCCTCCCAGATGGATGCTTATGAAGTCTCTCCAATCGAAAGTTTGGGCCGAAACCATTTTTCCCAAAGACTGACGAAAGCATACAAAATCTGCTGCTTCATAGGCTTCATAGGTCATGGGACCCAGGGTGATGAGTTTGAGTTGGCGTCAATCTCCGTAAAAGGCTGTCCATCAAGGCCTACATATACCTGCACAACATGTGTGTGTACCCCTTGGAGTCACAGGGATCCAGTCGGATTTATTCAATTTTGCAGGGGGCACGGAGACTGATTTCCTATCCGTGCCAACGAAGCTACGGAAATCAGTTGGAAGAGAGTTGGGACGCCAACTCTTGTACCTGCACTTCAATTTGGTTGTGCTGTTGAGTAAATTATCTTCTCTTCTAATTGGACAGGCTGTTTAGGTAATTCTGAGGTCTGCAGACTTGCACGGATCGCCGTCATCTGATCGATCGCTCACTTGATGCTTTGAACACTCTGGGCCACCTTCTGTTCACCGAGACCTCCAGGATGGACTCCGGACCACCCTCACTTGCATCCTCAGGAATATGGTTACCTAGGCGTTTTTGTGGCGAGCGGCATTGAGCTCAGCACGCATAATCTTGAGTGTGTCTGTCTTCATGCCAGCCCAGGGTGACGCCGACGAGTGTCCACTGCCGTGGAAACGCACGTGCCCAGAGCGGGCGGAGTACTGTAGGCTTGTGCCAAAGTCATTAGCCAAGATTTGACGGATTATTGCAGTCCAAGTTGGCAGTCTTCGGACAAGCCATTAGGTGACCGCAGCGGTCTTGAGTAGGCAGCCCTTGGGCACGCCACTACGTCACTACGTGGTCGCAGCGACCAAAGCTTTTCAAGGTTCATCGGAACCTGTCGGGACCTTCATCCCCTTCCTCCCCGTTCCCTCCTTTCTTTTCTTTCTTTGCCTTTTGGGGTATTCCTGAATGCAACACTCAGGTACACCGCTCTCCTTGGTGTGTCCCTGGACGCTTGTTTCGTAGCTGGGAACACCTCCTTCCTCTTCTTCCTTCTTCTTTCTTTTTTCCCTCTCCTCTCTCTCTCTCTCTCTCTTTCTCTCCTTCTTTTCCTCCCCTTTCTTTCTCTCTTTCTCGCTTGGGTGTCCCTGGAAGCTTTCGTCATAGCTGGGAACCCTTCTCTTCTTCTCTTGGTGTGCCCTTGGACGCTTGTGTCCTAGCTGGGAACACCGTCGTTTGCTTTCTTTTCCTTTTCTGTTTTCTCTTCTCTCCCTACCCTTCCCTCCCTCGTGCGCGAGGTGCTTACATACAAACGAGGCTTTGCAACAGGTTTTTAAATGAGGTTTGGTTTCATGTGTTCCCGTCCCTTTCACACACCTCTGTCTCCTCTTTTCTTTCATGTCTCTCTGTCTTCATGTCTTGTCATCTCATCCTTTCTTTCGTTTGCGCGCA